TAGATGACATACATATTCCCAATCGTCAATAGATATTGGGATCACTTGCAATAACTGAGTAGTGAGTACTTAGTACAACATGACAGCAGGTACTCGATACTCAGTTAAGACTCAAACATTCAAGTTGCATATTTTCCTAATTCATTGTTTTAAATAAAGATAATTCACAAAAGTAAAAAAATTGACATTCATAAAAATAACTAAGAGAAAAATTTACTTTTTACCTAACATTGTACTATATGTATATTATTTATCATATAAATTAAATATACCATCTCTTACTCTCTTAACAAAAAAATAAAACTACTAGTATAAAAAGTTTTGACGTTTTTAGTTTAATATTCAAACATTTAAAACTAAACGGTAACAAAAAATAATAGTTTTAATCTGTTTGTAATTTATAAACAGAAAAAAATCGAATTTTTGAATAATTACGATTTTATAAAATCTGCATTCGGTTATGCCCACGTTCAGCCAATGTCATAATAATTTTATAACGAGATCTAAAATAAATTTTGCTCTCAAAATATCAATAATAGGTATAATAACTGTTAATATCTTTAATTATTATTTTTGTTTCTCATCTTTTATTGTAATGTTAACTGTGTAATTCGTTTAATGTAGGCTGCAATCATTTTCGAGCTATCATTGCAATTCAAAAAGCTAATAAAAAAAAAAACTATTAATACCTACATAATATGTTTCCATAGGACTACAATGGGAGTATACATAAAAACCATGTGATGCAGGTACTTCGTCACCTCGAGTCTCAGAAATTATACCATATACGATATTTAGTATAATTGTATTGATTAATGTTTAATTTATGAAATAGAATTGATTTGAATAATTATTTTGTGTAAACATAATATTATCCCTAACCTAATTCAACAGTTACAACTTACAGATGACTATTACTGTATAATAAACTACCGAGCGTTATGGAATATATTAAGTTAAAAATATCATAAGTAACGTTTAAAACCTCTGTTGTACCACCAACAATTATCTGTAACGAAATTACCTTCTATAATCTGGTTTAGAGTGCGTTTCAATCGTTTTGATCAGATTTTTCTGTTTTCTCTCATTAGGAACTTTATCTTTTTATCTTGTTTATTATAATAAAGTCATACACTTATCAATATTTCTTAAGTGTATTACAATACCTGGGCTTTTTAAATCTGAAAAGTTTCATGAATATGTAATCAACATTAGTTAGAGCAGACACGTTTACTTTACAATTAAAATTACCTAGACGTGACAAAAAGATTCAATCAAATGATCGCGTTTTAATCATACATACAAATGTATATGGCAAAGGTTTCTAACAAGTAACAGTTGGACGATTTTATCTCATAAAAGATAATAATGCATATTGCATATTATATACAAAGTGTGGCCAAACTGCGGCTTGTGTAAGTAGTATTAATTTAGCGACTCTGGCTCCATTTTTACAGGGAGATTAAAAAAGTTCAAGGAAGAATGTCTGACTTACAGTCATTCCAATCTCCTTACAGTTTTCTTGAGAAACGTTTAACCAATTAAATTCAAAATTTACCAGTCACGATATTATTTAAGACATAATTAATTTAAAATATTTAGTGAGTTATTAACGAACGGTTGTACTACCAAGTTGTGTTATATTTTTTTCCGGTAAATTATCTTATTGAATCGATTTTTTTCAAGTATCTATTTTCAGTTTTATTAAAAACAAAATTTTCCAATGATTTTCCATTGTTAGTTTATTTAGTAAACTAGAAAACTATTGTAAACAATAAAAAACAATAATTCTTAATTGATTATATTTAATATTTGTTGTAAAATATAATTCATTGATCAGACAATAAATAAACAAAATTATTCTTATTTATTTCAGAAAATTTAAAAAAACGTTTTAGTTAATCGTTTCTCAAAAAAAAAATTACAAGAACATTGGAATGACTGTAAGGCAGACATTCCTACTTGAACTTTTTTAATACCTTTCTAAAAATGGAGCCAGAGTTGCCAGTTTGCTACATTAATACTACTTGTGTATTTCCGTAAGACGTTTGGACGCAAAACATTTTTAATAATATACAAAATAAATTCTATATTAATATACAATAATATGTATTTTATTATGTAATAATTTTTTTTTTTTTTTTTGTGGTATCGAGAACCAGAGGGGGGACCGCGTTATTATGTAATAATTGTCCACAATATATTATACCATATAATATTATAAATGCAAAAATAACTCTGTCTGTCTGTTACGTAAAATTACAATAATATTTAACATTGTTAGTTACAACACACGGCTAAGGGCTACACCACAAAACTATATCAACCCCTGAGATGTGGCTAATACGGTTGAAAGTCAACTGTGTGGACATAAATTTGAAATGTGGATTGTTGATTTTATATTGTAGCCTGTAGGTATTATTAAAGGAGGGTTTTCTTTAGAAATTCAACCCCTGGGAAGAGGGAGGCTAAGTTTGTAAGGAAAATAATATTTTTATGGTCAAATTCACTTGAAACTTACTCTAATCAACACAAATTAATGATACTCGTATTTCGGCATTTTTCAGAATACAAACTGAGAGGTAGTGTTAAAGTTTTTAGTCTTAGGTAATGATTTTTCCTTAGAATAATTTGTATTGTTTTTATTTGTCACTATTTAATATTAATAAATAAATAAGCAAAAACTGTAATTTTAATTTACAAATTTCTTATAAATTGAATAGTTGTTTTGGCATGTATAGTTGTTATTGTTGTTAATAGTTTAATAATACTATAACTCGAAAAACCTCGGACCAACCTTAGATCCGCATGATTTTAGATTCAGCACGTCATTCGGTCTTAAGAGCTAGAGATACATTAAAGCTATCACAAGGCCGTTTAGTTTTAGACACTGAGCGTCACACGTCTCTTATATAGGCTATAGCTACTGAGACGCCAGAAAGTACAGTGGTCAGTGACTGAGTCAGATATATCATCGTCCTTACATGTCGAGTAAGCATCTCCTCAGGCGTGTGTTTTCATCATATTGCGACTGTGTGCAATTATAAGATTCGATGGCTTACTGCTTATGCTGGGGCCTCCAAAACTCGTCTTGAATACCTACCCTTCGATTTTCAAATTATTAACATTATTTTTCAGCCTTGTATTTTTTTTTTCTTGATAAATTATAGGTTTTATTAAATACTCGCAGTACCTGCAGTCCTATTAGATGTCGCATGCATCAATCAGCAGTGTGAAAAACGGCGTATCTTCGTCTTTATATAATACATAATATACTCTTCTCGTTTGTATTTAGGTGCAGATGAGGCATGTAGAGAATGCATATACGCTATAAGAGCTCGTTTTCAACGCAACACATCCCTTTGCCGAGTAATATCATATACGAAAGCGGTAAACCTAATACGTACACACACACACACACACACACGCCTTAATATATAATAATGTACATAGGTATAAGGCACACTAAACCGAACGGTATATAAAAGCGAACTTTCCGTCGTTGTCCTTTTGAAATCGCTTTTCTCTTTGCCACCGCACATAATCGCCTCGTCGCCGTCGATGCGTGGGTCGGTCGTAGGCTCGTAGCCTGTATCATCCCTGAGCATGTACCCGACTACCCTACCAAAGCCGGCTGCCGTCGAAAGCGGTGGTTAAGGGTGCAGCGGTATACCACAGCCGCCACCGACGCCACATTTTATTAAAAACGCATACCAATAACCACTGCGGACACCACCGGGTGTACCGGATCGTTTTAAAATATAGAATCAATTATAATAATAATATGTATATTAATATAATACAACAATATGCGACTTATAATGCGACTAATATACAACTCGACGAAATTACAAGTGTTTAGATTCGCACTGTATGCACAACAATATACTGTATGTAACATGTACCTATATAAAATGTATAATATATATATATATATATTTAAGTAATATATGTGCGTATTGGTGCGTAAAGACTTTCCCGTCGGGATTCGTTAATTAGCGCGCAATGATAAAACATTAAAGCTTTTATATAATGGCGCGTAATTCAAAGTGATTAGAGTAAGCATTTTACGGATTTGTATGCACAAATCATGGCAGTGGCTCGGCGAAGTCAAATATATAAACGGACAATACACTTTTTGAATGACCCACCACCCCATGACCACTCAATATAATTATGCTTATTAGATTTTGAAGTTATTATTCTTATGAAACATCATATTCAGATAAAGTTATAGTCTTATACTACAATTTCTCACTAAATCCAGTACTCGCCCAACTGGCACCCGCCCCTTTAAAATTATAAAGAAACTACGCTTCAAAATCACTGTCGATTTTGCTCTAGCACTATTCTTCCCTACAATTCGATAATATGTACATTTGGACATTTGGTCTAATATTGACAACAAAATAAACTGTAGGTCCCTATAGTGAATTTAAAGTTATACGTTACTGCAGCCTTCATTATTTTTAATTTGTTTATGTTGTAATACCTTCTTTGGATTACAGTATGATTCAAATATTTTTAAAGCTTTATTGCGCATCGTCATATTTTTTTTCATCTTAAGCATGACATATATAATTATATAAATACCACAATCTATATTATATATTATTACGTTATAATGTACCTACTACAATACTACATGTTAGTATACTATATACCTAATTCTAATATACATAACTAAGTCGTTATCGAAATTGTATTCTCGAGTCAGTGACACGTGGTACCACCACACCTTACAATATGAGATATATTTCATAGCCACGAATGCAGAAAGGTCTTTAGGGGACTTGATCAAGTCCCCTCCATAATGTCACATTTATTATATTATTATGTGAAGCATCCCGCGGGCCATCTTAATGAAAAATGATAAAGGATATCAGTGCCCACCTCCCCCCCCCCAACAATGAATTTTTCTGAAATGTTGAATATCATACTATGTATTAGGTACCTACGTATATTATTATGTACCTACTTATCACGTGTGTCGGTCGCAGGTGGGACCGGTGAACAAGTCGAAGGAGAAGAAGAAATCGCACCGGAAGGTGACCAAGCTGGTGTTGACGGTGATCACGGTGTACGTGCTGTGCTGGCTGCCGTACTGGATCACGCAGGTGGCGCTGATATTCACGCCGCCCAAACAGTGCCAGTCCAAGATCGTCATCACGATATTCCTGTTGGCCGGGTGCCTGAGCTACAGCAACAGCGCCATGAACCCGATCCTGTACGCGTTCCTCAGCGACAACTTCAAGAAGAGCTTCCTCAAGGCGTGCACGTGCGCCGCGGGCAAGGACGTGAACGCGGGCCTGCACCAGGAGAACAGCACGTTCCCGCGCCGGAACCGTGGCGGTTCGGAGCGCGGCGGCGGCCGGACAGGGCGGGCCACCACCATACTGTGCCAGGCGGTTAGCGGCGGCGGCGGCGGTGGCGGCGGCGCGGGCGGTTGCTGCAAAGACGCCGACGGGGGGTGTTGCGGCGAGACGGGACCACTTGTCGGACGCGCCGAGCTGGTCAGCAAGGAGAACACGTCCACCGCGCTCACCATGACGTCCCGGTCCACGTGCAACGACAATAACGTGCAACCCGCCCAGTTGTAACGGCAGTCGGCTATAATATTATTATTTTTTACTCGTAAATTTCTACGCACTATATTATTATATAATATTATATATAAAGATACCTACCTATTAAAACATGACAACCTATTCCTTTTTATACGATACATACATAATATAATAATTAATAATACCTAAGTATAATAAAAATAATATTAGATACACACTATAATAGGTAGATCACTATAATAATTATGTTCCATAGAGTAATAGATACCTTTTTTTTTTTTTTTTCGTTTTTGAACCGACGGCGCCGCGGGAATTGCTTTCGCATTACTGCCGCGGCTGAGTAATAGATACCTATAATATATAGATCTGACCTGTCCCCTAAAAATGTACGTACAACAACTATACCTATTTATAGTTTATACATAACAATAATAATATATTTAACTAATAATAGTCGTAACTCACATATTATTATTACCTATATGGCTGCTAATATTTCATTATTTTACATAGGTACCTATAACCTATAATACCTACTTAATATAGTTGTATTGCTGAGGTACCTACCGTCGAGTTTAAGAGGAAACGGGACTTTTGTTTTATATTGTTTCTCATACCTATGTGGCTATGTACGTCCTTTACCCGCTTTTCAACGATCGCGATTTCGAAATAACTGTTTATGAATGTACATCATTATTATACCGAATTTACCATAATACGGAATATGAGTATATTATGACCACAAAGGTACCCACCCAATAATATGGTCGTATCTTGTTTGAAATATAAACCATCTATAAGTATACCTAAGTAGGAGTACATTGCATTTCTTTCTAACATTGTCGTGTACGTAGGTACATACGCTTAGCCAGTGATTTTAAGATATGCACCAATTTTACGTCATAATAATGTTCTATAACTCCTAATATAATATTATATAAGTAGGTGTGTATTGTAAAAGAAAAAAATATTGAAAAATTGTTTTGGTAAAATCGATTATAATAATGGTAACACAAATAAACAAAACAAATATTTACTTTCAATATCAAGTGTTCTGTCGTTACCTATATATTGTATACATACCTATATTATTACACTATTATACAGCGCCTTAATTTATTTATGCTATTTGTACCTAATAAGTGTCGGTCTGGCTCATGATATGGCCCAAAACAATATCTTTCAATTGTAGCTATAGGATCAATCTATTTGTTTTCGCTATATGCCTAACTAATTTTCAGTCCAATCTCAAAAACATGGTTAGGTATTTAGTCGATACTTTTTATATTTTGACGTCGATATAAATAAAAGGAACTTATTACAATTAGAATAATACTAACAAAACCAAATATAATAAATATTAATGAAATCACTGAGAAGTGCCTATACCTAGACATTACACGATATGCTCAAATTCTACCATTTTGCGTTAAGCCTCCATAATATCGAAAAAACTTCAGACTGGGGTGGGCCTGACCGATACTGACTAAGTGTCTACAACAACTGTCTATCATAGTGATAGTATCATATTTAAACCTCTATAAATTATTATAATATTATTACTCGATAACTTGGATTGGAAATTACTAACCAGTTTTTTATTTCCTAAAAGGATGCTGTCATTTTTTTCTGGTACCTACATAATATTATGATTTAAGATAACAATAAATGTTGATAACAGCATCTGAGTATTTAGTAAATAGTAATTTACTTTTAAGAAGGTATTGATGTATTTGACGTAAATATACCTATCTACCGACCTATTTCACTCGTTGACTCCCTATTTGTAAAATAATATTGACAAACAGTTAAAAAACGATAGCTTATAATAGTAGCATGACCGAATCGATTTACGTTATCGTTGTCATTATTATTCCCGAAAGCTTTTCAACGCGTTTATATATGGATTTGAGGGTTTCCAACAAATTATTGCATGCCGCAATACAACGAGCTAATTAATAAATAATAATATTTATTAGCGATTTTGAAATCAAGACGATATGATATAGAATATACTAATATTTCTCAACATAAATAATTCTCTAGGGATCGTGATCTGTAAACTGTTAAGGACTAAGGAAATATCATTATCAAAAAAAATGTATTTTATATGCAATCGCGAGACAAATGTAGAGAGTGGTAGGTACCTGTCTCAGAAGGTATCTACCCAATTTTTTTATTGTTCTACTATAAAATATTACATCACACGTTTAGTTAAAAAATATCAAGACGTAACAAATAAAAACAACCTCGAACTATTTTTAAACCCGAATGAAATGATTTATTTCTTAAATTTCAAATGCTAACTCATCTGAATCTACGTTTTTAATTAACTGTTACCTATGACGTCCTAAAGCCAAAAATGTATTAGTGGATAGTCACATGTAATAATAACTATTTTAAGAAGATGAATGAACTTGAGGTCGTTTTCTCGTTGAGTGTTTTATATGATAATTTATATGATATGTATATAAATCTATCTAGTCATTTTTTTAAACTTAAATTTTTAAAAATGTAACATTTCTAAGAAATTAATTTATTATTTTGTACTTTAAAGTTTAAACTCACATAAATTACATTTAAAATTTGACCGTCTATCTTATTATTAGATAAATTTAAATAAAAACAAAAATTATATTAATCATGGATTTTACGTTAAATTATTCACACTTCAGTTGTACAGTAATTAATTCATAATGGACAGCCTATGGAAAACAAGCTACTTTTAAACAGATTATTTAAAATAATTCCAAAACAAAAATTAAAAGGAGAAAAAAGTTACACCAACGTTATTATGATTTAAAACAGATATGAAACCAATACTTTTCAAAATAGATACATGTAAACCTAGATTTTTATAGTTTTTCAAGCAATTCATTAATTTGTGGATGCATCTTCAGAAAATAGAAAACAATTTAAGCAACCATGAAATGATCTTAAATTTGTGGAAGCGTCTTCAGAAAATAAAAAACAATTTCTAAAACCATGCAATGATCTTGAACCAAAAAAAATTGCATCACAAATAAATGGCACATATTACATAATAAACCATATATTTGTTAATTTTTTTCATAATTGATCAAACTATACCCGGGATATACTATAACTAACTCGAAAAACTATTAAAAAAATTAAAGGAAAACATAATAGGTATTGAGGTTTAGTTTATAAAAATAAACTAAATAAATGTTTAAATAATAATAATGGTAAATATTACCAAATCAAAATGTACAATGTCAATTTTTCTCAACTACGCTACTTAATCCATTTAATTTTAAGAAATTTATCTTTTAACCTATGTAAAATAAAAATAAAAAACGTTTATAAATAATATTACATAATATGCACTTAACATAATTTAATAATATTATATAAAATAATACTAAGAATTAAATGTGTCAATTTACATGTTTATATATTATATATATGATTATGATTTGGTATTTACAATTATGATTCCTATGTACACACACTTATTCTTTTAACAATTAACAATTTTCAACATATCAGAAGAATTTAATGTGTACATCCTATGGTTTAAAATAAATTTGTTTATTATATAATATAATACAGTTTTAGATATAAGTGAAAAATAAACTATAGGCTTTATTTATTTGTAATACTTTACACTGTACTCATTAGCATCACTTTTTAGTTTAAACAATTATTATTAGCATAACCTAAGTACATATTATATCTGTGTATTACACATTTAGAATAGTTGAGTGTAACAATATTCAAAATATTGTTGAATAAAATTTAAGTCAAATAGATTTAAATATATTTGACAAGTTGAAATTCAATATTCAGCCTCTTTTAATTGGTGAATTTATTTAAACCATTATGTATATTTAGTCACAATAATAACGCAATGATATAAAAAAAATTTAAATGTTATAGTTTTTTAAACAAAATCCATACAATAAATATAAATTTTAACTAATCACAATTAGAATAACAACTGTGTTTGAAATAATTTTTTTTTTTTTGGTGTGAATAAATAAAACGAAACTGGATATAATTTCAATATATTAGGAAATTATTAAAATCTATCAAGCATAATATTGCGTGGAATACACAATCTTCACAACTAATATTAATATGGTAACATCATCTTGGCCACCTAATCTATCTAATTAGATACAAAACGGCAGCATTGTATTGTATTTACAGCAATGAACATTTAAAATTATATGCTAGCTTAACATACAAAAAAAATCGACATACAAACAGAACATTTTACAACTAAGTAGTAGTACACAAAAAAAGAATATAATCATTTATCCGATGTGCATGGTTTGGATGTGTCTCATAAGCTCTTTTCTATCCTCAAATACTTCATCGCAAATATCACAAGAAATATTTTCTGTAAATACAGGTGTCATTTCTTCAGTGCTTAGCTCAATGTTAGCACCAACCTCCTCAACATAATCTGTATCAAACACCAGTTCTGTTTCAACCAAGCAATCACCGTTTGAATCAACATTTTCCACAATTAAAGACATACGATCACCGTAATCACCATCATTTTCAACATAATATTCTACACCAGGTTCATCAGGAAAACCAATGTCGCAAATGTCACCAATATTATCTAATTCTTCAACATTAAACATTGATTCAATACTAACTCGTTCTAAAGTATGGGATGTTAAATCATCCTCCTCTACAAATATCTGATCTTCAGGTTCTTCTGGATTATCATTTTCTTTCGATTCCTCTCCTAATAATGAATCCATATCTGTCGGATTAGATCTTGAAGAATAATAAAGAACAGTTGAACATGTTCTAGTACACTCTCCTTCTTTAAGCACAAATGTATGCTTTTTTGGTAAAGGTTCTGATTTGGGAACTGGACGTTTTGATTCATTTGATACTTGCTTAGAAGCTTTTTGTTCAGTTTTCACTAACTTACCATTTACAAGTTTGTATGTTTTAACTGGAGTTCTTTTGGGACTAGCTACAGATGGAGGATCGTAAGGCATATCATCTTGTTCCATGATTGATTGTACAGCTTGCTCTTCTGCTGTAGGTTTCGGTTCATCCTCACAACTCTCTGTGTCAGACTGTCCTGACATCATAAAGACTTTTTCTACTAAGCACCATGTATCTTTGCGATTACCCAACTTACTGCGACGCTTATATTTGCGAGGTCCTACCTAAGATAAAGAATCATATTCCAGTTTAATTAAAGTATTCATAATACCCAAAATTTTAATTTTTAAAAACATACAGGCACTACTCTGGATCTTTTAGTATTTTCATCACTGTGTTGAACTAAATGTGAACAAAGCTCCATAGAAGATCGAAACAAATAACCACACACTTTACATTCATAAAAATTGACTTGACCACCCTTTGCCTCAGTGCCAGCATGATGTGCACGTATGTGTTCACGCAATACAACCTAAAATTGTATTACAATAAGTATTATTATTTAGTAAATATATGAATATTTGAATAATTGTACTCTTTGATTGAACGCCTTTGGACAGACAGGACAAGCATATGGCTTTTCACCCGTATGTATTCGTTCATGTTTTCGAAGTGTACCACCATCAGCAAACGCTTTGTCACAATATCTACAACCATAAGGTCGTTCTCCTGTATGTATTCGTATATGTATTTGTTGAGATGATCTAGATCCAAATACCTAAATAAAAATAATACATTTTAAATATTATACTAGTTAACATCAAAATCAAACACCAATTACTTTATTTTATACAATTTACATTGCAAAAGTCAATTATAAAAATATTGTTAAAAATCGGTTGTATAAATATGATTTAATAAATGTATTGAAAAAAAAATATTAAATATTAATACATTTATATGTTTTATTATGATAACATACAAAATGTGTGTAACAAATATTTAAAGGGAGCAGACAAAAAAACATAATTGTCAATTTTTATAAACTCAATAATACATACTGACTGGACGAGCTAAAGGTATGTTTAATTGAACTTTAAATGCAAACAAAAATAATCAAACCCATGTATCTTTAATATTTGCTGCTATTAAACCAACTTAAATGGACCCTTGTATTAAATTTCAAATTTTTTTTCTTAGTAAAACAACAATAATTAAAATTTTTTTTACATAATTTGAAAATTTATTTAAAAATATGAATTGCTCAAAAATTTTTTTTTAATATCATACATAGAAAATGTTATTGATAGCTTTATAAAAATATAATCCATAAAATTAATAAATCAAGACAATTGTACTCACTTTGCCACAATTGGTACAAGGAAATATTTTTTCAGTCAGTGAATTTCGTGAAATACTAACAGTATTTGCATGACTAGCTTTGTGATTAATAAGTGCTCGTTTATCAGCTACTTCTTCACCACATATGTCACAAGTAACTTCTTTTTCTCTATGAGTTACCATGTGTCTGAAAAATAAAACTTGTATTTTAAATTTATTGCAATTTTAATTTGTTTATACTTTTTATATATAAATAATATATAAAATAATGTTGTTAAAAATGCATTACTAATTACCGTTTAAGACGTGCTCTAGAATGAAATCTTTTACCACATATTATACAATTATTATCAGATGTGTCATGAACCATTAAATGTTTTTGGAGAGCTTTATCGTCTTTACATAGTTTTCCACAAAGTTTACACGAATGTTCAGATAATGAATCAGTGTGAATTTGAGACACATGGTCAGATAGCTCATCTGTACTATCAAATGTTTCACCACAAGCTAAACATTTTGATTTCTAAATAGTAAATAGATTAAGATATATAAATATCCATGTTACAACTGTATAAGTATTTAAATTAATTTTTAAAAAAATGTATAAATAGTAAAATACACACTTCTGAAATATTTGTAGGAATCAAATGTTGCTCAGTATGCACTTCTAACTCTAATATAGATTTAAAAAACAATCCACAATGTATACACATTTGTGCTTCTTCATATATTTCTTCCTCAACGTTTCCAAGTTCTTTTTTCATATGTTGCCTAAAAAATAAACAAAATAAAATAAAATAATTAAAACTGTTTACATTAACTATTTAACTCTTATGTTTAATTTAAATGGAGTTATCAAAAGTCATAATAATATTTATTATTTAAGTGTATGTGTTTTTCTTTTCTTAAGTTATTTATTAAAATTTATCCTAAAATGTCTATTTAAGTTCAATCTTATTATCAAATATTAATTCAAGTACTTAAGGATGTTTATAAATTACTATCAATGAAAAATTAGAAAAAAGTGTATTTTATTTTCTAGCTATTCTGTTTAATTCTACTTAGTCATCAAAAACTGAATAATTTACCTTTGATGACGTTTTAAAAAATCAAATCTGTTAAACACTGCCCCACATGAATCACAAGAATAAGAATCATCGGATTTAGTATTAGCCAATATTGTAAGCTCATAAGTATCTGAATTTGATTTTTGAGTAGTAACAATATTTACACCATCATCAATATGACTTAGGCGAGCATGATTAAGAAGTGCTTTTTCACGTGTAAATGAAATTCCACATGGGTTACATGTATGTGGTTTTGAGTAAATTTCTGAATTCCAACCAAGAGAAAGTAGGCGATCTTTTATTGGACGACCTTTTCCTCTACCCCGACCTTTACCACGGCCACGGTTTTTGATATTTGATTCCTGATATATGTCTCCTTTATCTTCAGAATCTTCACCAGGTGTAACACTCCTTCTCTGTATTGGATCCATGAACATTAATTTGTTCATTACTTTTGTAACAGATACATTTTGATTATCTACAAAAAATATTATATTTAAGTTATTATTCATAACTTAATATAAATATTTGTAGAAATTAATTGTATACCTAAACCACTATCTGATGGATTATCAGGACCAATATGAATTTTCATATGATTGGCTAAATCACATTTACGTCGATAACGAACACCGCATAATGCGCAACAAAAGGGACGCTCAGATTGATGGGTAACCATATGGTTCATAAGATGTGATTTTCGATTAAATCTCCGACTACAAAAATCACATGGATATGGATTAACAGAAGATGAAGCCTCTTCGCCTTCAGGTATTGGTATGTCAACATCAACAGTTGATGACATACATTCAACTTCTGTTTCTAATATGCTAAAACAAAATAAATATCTAAATAAAATATGCTACTTTATTATTGGTATTTATCAGTTATCACAACTAATTGATTATGTGGGGTACTTCTGTTGATGTCAAAATTAAGTTGTAGTGACTACCACATTTTTTCTAACTTATTTGTCTTATAACCAAACCAACAATCTGAATAAATATTACATGCAGTTCTATATTTAACATCAACTAAGAACATTTTTAAGTGTCCATTATTGAGGTAAACTCTACCAGCAATGTTCTTGTGCTTAATAAAAAACTTCTGTCAATTTTTACTATTATTTTTTTGCTAACAATTTTAGACACATAATTCTTACATGTAGTTATATCAATCCATTGTTGCATAAACACAAATTTTATTGCTGTTTACAATGTTTTAGGCTAGTAAAACATTTAAAATTTTAAGTCAGTTTCTCTGTCAAATCAAATATAAAATGCAATGTACATAAAAATAAAATACGACTACCAACACACATATTTACTTTTTTATGCAAGATTTAACTCTATACTTCCAAAATATTTGTTTTTGTTACTATTGTTGAGTATTGGATCACTAGAATCAATCAGTTTGTAAGACTATAGGCACAATCCTTGATCAATAGATTGAGAGACACATTTTGTCAGCCACTATGCTTGATCAAGACTCAGATTAATTAAATAGCATAATAATTTATAACATAATTAATATTATAATCCAATATTTTAGTTCCAGGTTCATTTTTTCATTGTGGATTTTAAATTCACTATGATTAACAAAACAGAAATTCTGTTAGTACTAGGCGCTATTTCCAGCAGCTTAAAAAAACCAGTAAAACTGGAGGGGAACACACTTATACTTACAAAAGATAATAATTTAAGGAGATTCTGGCGCAGTGAATGGGCTATATGATGCAAACGATCAAGAGGATATCTCGTCACAAACCAGATATGATGACACCTCTTATTGGACAACTATGTAAGAGTATAAGTCTCCAGGGGGCATCAACCCTGTCTTCGACATATCTTCAAAAATATTTGCATATAACGAATGGAGAACCCACAATAGTTTTCTGGAATGGATCAACGGATCTGACTATCATTAAACTTTTAGGCTTAACAGGAATAATAAAATACCTAAACATAATGGCATATAGTGATAAGAATAATGATGAGTTTAATTTGAAACTAAGAAATATAAAAAGTAAAGAAGTACTATATTCAGGTTATGTGGAAACGGTAAGTAAAAAAATGGCAGGATGTCAAATCTACTGGAGATACACGGTCTAGTGTGTGGTAAAGATCCATGCATTGTAAAGATCTAGTGGCTATTGTAATTTTAACTAAATGTATCATTGAGTTTATTATTTCTGAAATCAAAAAAATTAAGCTATATAGGTTATGTAAGAGATATAGAAAAAAGGAATTAAAAAAATTGTATTATTATTATATGATGAACAAAGTTATAGTATACAGTAGAGGAAAGAAGAAAAAAAGTTCTTAAATTGTGTATTGAGTTGTTATAAAAAATCAATGAGAAAAAAGAATATAGAAAGTCAAAAAGTAATAACACAGGGTTGTGCATATATACTCTAAAACCTAAAAAATAAAAGAATATTTATAGATAATATGTTGACATACAGAGTAATGAATATAATTGTATTATCTCATAGGTAAAGAGTGAGAGTTATTATAGGGTGAAGGATTTCATTAATAATTTATATTGTATACTTATATTGGTACAACAACTTGTATTTCAAGGAAATAAACATTTTTATTTATTAAATATTACAAGCATGCAGAATAGATTATTGTAAATGGTATATATGTGGATGTATGTGTCATACATCTAAAAAAAATAATGTACAACAAAAGTTATTACATTTTTAATTATAGTCTTTAATTTATAGAGCAATTGTAAGAACTGTAATAGATTTCTGTCTTACAGACATGCACCTTTTTTAAGGGGAGGTATTGCAGGCTATAAATCCTATAATTTTGTAAGCCAATTATAACAAATAAAAAGGATACATAAGAAGCATACAGCTAATAAAATAAGAGCAACCTTGCACATGATGCAAGTACCTATGCAAAGTACTACTCAAAGGTTCAAAGACCATCAATGAACAATGCAATGAGAATGCTACTAATTGCAGTAATTATTCAAAACACACAATTTGGTCCAATACCACAGATCAAGAATCACTTATAAGGGAGCAGTAAAATGTATATATTTTTTTATTTATTCAGTAAAATCAGATGTACTACAGCAGTTGAGTCCTGAGCACCTTCACGCCACCCACATTGACATAGCTTGTGTATTTACTTATAATAAACCATTATTACATTAACTGTTTGAAAATTGTCTTAACTATTCATTGCAAATTTACTATCACCTGTAACTCTGACAGTTGGATTACAACAACATTAAGAATTGTATTTTGTACTTACTAAGAAAAAATAAAAATAACCAGAAAACATATGCAAATGCATTTAAGCCCTTGTTCAAATTATTAATGATAATGAACTAATAGATTTACATTATCAATAAATTCAAGCACATAAAAGAAAATAATACAAATCTTTTAAACCACATTTTCATAAAAATTCATTATTGAAACAAAAATTACTCATGGGCATTTAATAAAAATGGTTACAGTTCATACCAGCTATATCATAATGAACTTCAAATATGAACTAAGTACCTAGAGTATGTAGTTCAAAGATCAATTGTTTAAAAAAACACTGTAAAGTATAAAGTTTAAATTTTCTAAATAGATACTACAACTTTCTATTACTTTAACACTCAAATAACAATACAATAAAAAAAAATGTAATAATTAACTCACTTTTAACTTGTGTAACGTAATATTCATTATGAGTTACGACTATGTGTTGTGTTTTAATAAACATCTAATTTTAGATTTAAGATGTTTAATAATAATATGATAAATATACTCTGTCTATGTCTTACACTAAATTGTCAAAACCATCGGTGTTATTATAACATAGTTGATAAAAAAAATCTAGTAAAAAATTTTAAGTTAATTCAGTGAAAAAGAGGGGAAATGTCAGGTAAAGAAACCTCTGCAATGACTGAAATCTTTCAGATGTTACAGGTAATAAGAGAACAGCTGAACAGGAAATTTCACCTGTATCTCCCAGAAAAAAAACTAGTCATTCATTGAAGGCCGTCAATCGTTGGTTAAACATGAACAGAGTATACTCATTATTAATTTAATTAAAACTCACGTGTCAATATCAGTAGAGCGGTTCATATCCCAACTTTGAGTGATTATCTCCTGCTCGGGGCATTCTTGAACAACAACTTCTTCTTGGACATCAAAAAAATTTTGGAATTCATCTTGACCAATCTGTTGACCGACTTCCTCATCACTAGACTCAAATAAATCACTAGGGTCGACAGGCTCTTGTTTGATTTGCTGCCCTTGATCCATTTCCTACACAATTCAATATAGTTTTAGATGAAAATGTAAAATGTGATTAGGAAGTGTTAAGTTTAGATTGTTAAAACCAATCTGCTACCTTAAAATTATCACTGAATGAAGATATGGCAGCTAAGTATTGTAACCCATCGGCATATGGCACAGATTCCATGACCGCTCTAGTCCTATTATTGAGCTCATTTGCGTTTGCACCAGTATTGGTGAAATACGAGGACCCAATGGTTTGGATTAAACAATTGTCAGATGACAAACCGTCAATGTCGTCCGGATTGAAAAACTCGCTCTTGACAATAGAGTCAACAACAGTGCCCGGACATAAAATACCATCCTTACAATCAAAATCTAGTGTTTGGCTACCAGGATGGACAGACACGATTTCTTCCACAAAGTCAGTGTCCATGGTCTTAACTGGGCGGTCGGTTATTGGGATATCTAAAAAGAAACATTTCTTATGTTTGAATGTGAACGATTGTGAAAGATTGTTCATGTCCTTGAGAGTACCTGAGGACTAACTAATCCACATCTAACACCGAACCCTGCCGAAAGTCAAATATTAAAAAGGCTTGGGTACACAAACACTGAAACCGGGTATATAATCCGATTCCGATTTCTTCAGATCGACCACCCACATCATATTCTAGAATATACGGATTGAAAATTAACGTACGCAATAAAGGTACGTTGATACGAACGACCGTGATAGCCATTAGACGGGGAAATGGTAGTAGTACGTTGGTCTGTGACAAGTTCATCAGTTGGTCGTACACAACACTACGAATTCGGAAAGTCAGAAACGACCGACCCAGTCGTATCGGTCCGACCGAATAATAGGTAGGTTTCCCACCGAAGCACCGAGTAAATATTATTATTTACAAGAGTCCCGACTGTAAATCTATAACCTAAAAAAATTCTGTTCTTTTCCTCCATTATTATTTATTTTTCATGGTTAGTTTTTAATTATTGTTTTTCGCACATATATATTAATAAAATAAGCAGTCCTGTATACGAAATTCAGTAGTTCTAAATTATATTCATTGTTTTTGCCGTCCGGCGGGATAAGAAACCCTGAGCAGTGAGCACACTCGAAGTGGCGAATACGTTCCCCGACCCAAGTCGAGTCATATCCACCATCAACGGACATGTTTGTTCCATCGACGATTTTGTATTTTTGTCCCTAACCTAATAAAATTTCGACAATGTCAAATGTACTCACCCCGCCACGCAGCCGCTCGTCGGACGTCTGCCGAGTCACGTTATTCCGGCCCGTTTTCCGCCATGGAACGCGTATTTTTAACGCTTAAAAGCCGATCGACGGTAATAAGACGCCATTATACGTATACAAATATACAAAATACATTCGTCGAAAGTACTCCACCGACCCCCCTCTCCGCCACCACCCGAATATCAACGTTGTGATGGGTGTTGCGGTGCCGACGGGCCGCGGTCGACCACTGCTCATGGAACAGAAACAATCGGCTGCTGGCCGAGTGGAAGTTGAGATATAGAAAAATGAATTATTTATACCACACGATGCTAATTGATAATACAGAATATTGTAGAATAATAGATTACTAATAATCGGGGAAATATAATTATTCATTTCTCAATGCTTGTTCTATGTCAAGAATAGGGTTGCCATAAAAGTTCAAGTACTGACCGGGACATTTACAAAAATAATTTGAACCTTTTTTTTTTTTTTAATATTAAAATTTAGAACACAGTGTAATAAATATATATATGTATATAGAATAAAATAATAATAGTATTGAATTATGAAAGACATTAAATTAGAAGATACATTTGATTAACGAAATATTATTTATTTATTTATTTTGAAATATTATATTTTTCTGACTTTTTCACCTGTTTCAATAGCTCTGGTTTTCCCATAGCATTAGGATTTAGGAGTGTCCAACGTGTGAAATTCATGGTTTTAGAATACAAATATAATTTTTATAAAAACATAATTTAATATAATTATTGGTACTAATATTATTTACACATAACCGGGACTCTTGTAGGGTCTAGTGGGACGACCGGGACCGAAGTCATGAACTGGTGACATGTCCCGGTGTACCGGGACGTATGGGAACCCTAGGCCAGAACAACCTTGCAGTACATTCATTATTCGTTTTATTCCGATATTTCGCTAATATGTAGTGTTTTATACTGTATAAAACCGAAATAATGAATATATGAAATTACCAAAGGAGTAAAAGGTATATTCGGGATGTACACTATTACCACGGAATATCAATATATTTTCATTTATTCTGCGCTATTACTATAATACTATGCACAGTATACACTATACACCACTGCAGTCGTAACCGTGACGGTCGCTAAGCAAAGCAAATGCCATTTTTATAATTATTGTTGTTACTATGATGATGTCATGACTGCAGGCTGCAGGCTGCAGCAGAAGTGCAGTGTTGTCTGTTATTTGTGTGTTATTCAGTTATGAGTTATTGCAATTATTGCATAACTAGTAACTACATAGTGCACAATCTACTAATGTCTAATCTGTATTCTGTGTAACGCACTAGCCGCTGCCGCTCGTCCGACGGCTGAGTTTTGTAACGCGGCTCGTTATTCGTCGACTATTCTCGGTTACATACGGTCTCAAACAAACCGTTACGTTTCGAAATCTAGAAATCCAGAATCCCATTGGCCCGTCCCGTGTTGGTGGGGGGGTGGAGAGAATGAAACGTTAAAATGGCCACCTTTGTCCGTGTCGACCGTCTTACAATTATTATTGTATGCCACGACAGATACTGAATTACACTGATATCGTTTTTTTATTATTGTTGCGAGATTTTATTTTGAATTCTCTCCTATCGCAGATTTACGGAGGCAATTCCGTTTACCCACTACATAGTCGCGCATCGTTTTAGGCAGTCGGCGTCCGAAAAAAAAAACATAAAATATCTATTCACGATCTAACGATTGTGTAGTGCTTCTGGCTTCATCGGATTTCATCCGTTTGAGAGTCCATTGAGACTAATATGAGTTCCGTAAGTATTATCAACTTTCGATCGTTGTTATATTCTTTGTTTGACGTTATTTTCCGTTATTAGATTTCCAACGTCGAAAACCTATCTCCGCAAACTATTCGCAGGCTAGTCCGGGAACAAGAAGAACTCATTAAGGACCCTCCGGAAGGCATACGGATTGTCGTCAACGATTCCGATGTCACCGACATCCAAGCATTCATCGACGGTCCCGGTATGTTTAAAAACATCTAAAGTTTTGAAACCATCAGTTCTGTTTTGAACGAAAGTGTTCTGTTTTGATTGCACAGCGGGTACACCGTACGCGGGCGGTCGGTTCAATGTAAAATTAGTGTTGGGCAAAGATTTTCCACATACACCACCTAAAGCATATTTCCTTACCAAAATTTTCCATCCAAATGTAGCTAGCAGTGGTGAAATATGTGTCAACACTTTGAAGAGGGATTGGAAACAAGATTTAGGAATAAAACATATTCTTCTTGTAAGTTATATAATATATTTCATTAAAAATGTTTTCTAATCTATTTATTTTGGTTTGTAGACGATTAAATGTTTATTAATAGTACCAAATGCAGAATCCGCTTTAAATGAAGAAGCTGGCAAACTTCTATTAGAAGAATATGATCAATATTTCCAAAGAGCACAAATGATAACAGAAATTCATGCTCCGGTATACATTTCAGCTTTTAATATTTATATATATTTTTTACATTTTAAGATAATATTATGATCCATTGATCTCATACAATTATAAATAAACAATTGAAGAATTATATTATAATATAATTGGAGTACATATTCAGTTAAATTGTTAAATAATATCAAGAAGAATGATTATTATAATATACAATGCAACTCTTGAACTGTTGATTCCAATGTTTCATACTACATGTATTTTATCATTTTTTACCCAAACCTTAATTTATAATTTAATGAATTAAAATTATTAGGTTATATTAAATTTATTTATAATAATCCTTATTGCAGATACCTAAAAGTATGAAGATAGGACGAGAAGAAGATTCAAGTGATGGTCCATTAGCAAAAAAACATGCCGGTAGTAAATCATTAGAAAAGAAAAGAATTTCTAAAGATAATAGGAAAACATTAAAAAGACTTTAGATTATGAATATTTAAACTTGTATCATATTAATATTAGGTGAAACTCAATCGAATGTTGTCATTATATTTTATATTTATTTTATAGCTCCTTGAAACCCTACTAAAAAAATAGATTTTTCCAATTTGTGTGTATTTATTTGTTCAGTTGCTGTGTAATAAAATTAAGATTCAATTATCTTGTGAACAAGTGTTAAGCTAATTCAAAATTTGTAACCCGTGTATATAAAATATTTAATAGATAATTTATTATAATATAAAATGTTCTAAAAATTGATTATATTTTGTTCCTTACTTATGAGAATGTTTCAAAAATAAATTATTCAATATAAGTACACATTATGTTCAAATTTTGCTCATAGAGCTAGGTAAAACCTCTCGTGATTAGATAGAAAAACTATTTATAAAATAGTTTGCATAATGAGTTAAACAAATAAGTCAACCTTCTCAACGCTTAATGACAATGTTTTGCTTAAATTATTTACATTGAGGATACATGTTATAACCCACTTTTTTAGTGATCTAGAGGAGTTATTACATTTTCAGACATTTAAAAACAAGTGATTCGCTATGATCTAAGAGAAGATCCTGCATTTAGAATAATTTATTAAAGTTATTTTAACGGTTGTTATTTAATTTACAATTTTTTTCTCCACTAAACTATTTGCTACTCTCAGTTCAAATCCAGCTGTCAGCATCCCCCACTCACTTACACATTCTCATTGGGTATCAGCATTAAAGTCGGATGATGCGAAAACGACAGGGCTTGTAGTTAAATCTTTGATTTTAGATTTACAATGTACATAATATACCAAACCAGCAATTCGTTGATTGGATTTTAATAAAATCAATATACCTCAGTTCAATGACATTAACAATCATAATTAATGATGGGAAAAAATTAAGAGGATTTTAAGCCATTTCAATGATTGTATGTAATAACGAATACAAAAAATATGTATTACAATAAAAAAGTTTATATTTAGCATAAAAACTTAAGGGGGATAATATACAAATAATTGGAAAGTAGTTAAATTATAAAAGTGTATAATTGCAGGTTCAATTTACTTTAACCTAATAGAAAATATTAAGAGTTATTTTAGTTAATAACTAGTAACACTGTTTTAATTGTCAAACACTATTAAACTTAAAAATAGATATTAGAAAATAAAGAAATAAGTACATAAATCAATCAGTTATTCTTGCTTTTAATAAAACTATCAAGTTGTGCATCTAATTCATCTTTATTTGGCATCTTTTTTTCATTATTCCTGCCACCTCTGTTACTGCCTCCACCTCGTCCTCTGCTGTTGCCACGAGTATTACCGCGGCCACCTCTGGTGTTACCACGGTTACCTCTAACTCCTATAAAAAGCAAATGTTAAAACATTTTGTTTCTAAAAATACAGCAAAATTAAGACATACCACCACGAGTACCCCTGACAGGTAATTGGGCTGGTCTACTCAGACGTGTAGCAAGATTAGCAACAGTAGATAAGTCCGTAGCAAGTTCTATCTTCATGGGACGACCTTAAATGTACAATTGATAATTAATTAAAAACACAATGAAAAATATATTTAAAATAATTACCATCCAGAGGTACGTTGTTATATTGACGGACTGCTTTTAATGCAGCATTCTTACTGTCGAAAACAACATCAGCTGTTCCTAAAGACCTTCCTGATCTGTCATAGTGAACTGTAGCAGTTTTTAATGGTCCAAATTCATCAAAAAGTTCCTGTAAAAAAAACCATTAAAATAGATCTTTTAAATTCAATACACTTAATATAGAACCATCCATGCCAATACAAAAACAATCATTCACAAGACAAGTTTTAATATTTTTAAGTCCAGAAAATCATAAAATTATCAAGGAATATACTAAAGTTTAGATTACTTTTTAAAAAGTCTCTAGTTACTGAGAGGAAATGACTGCGGCAAATAGTTTTTATCATCAAGTAATATTACTTATATTTTACTATTAGTAATCATTACTTTATTATAATCAATCAGTTGAGTAGCTTCAGACGACTGATGTTGTTTATAAGATGATGATGAAGATGACGAAAATGATGGTGTTGGTTGTAATTAAAGCTTCCTTGTGTAATATTAGGTTTTCTCTTAAATTATGTACATTGATTTTTAATATCTGGCTGAAGAAGTTAGTAAGTTTTTAAATTCTATGTTTATCATTGCAATGTTTTTTCAACAGCTTTTCAGTTCATTAATCTTGACAAGATGGTTTAATAATAATAAAATGCATCAACAAGATTTTTTTTTACATTTCTTTTATTAAATTGCATTTCAAAATGTTTTCATAAAATGTGTTTCATCTTTAAATTATCTTCTTCTAGTGTCGATCAGTGTATTTTAAGTTACAATACTTCTTTTCTCAATATTTAATGATTCATCTATCATTTCTTCTGTGAAATTATATGATACTTTGGTTTTGATAATTGTAACATTTATTTTCAATCTATTTAACTCTTGCAAATATAGTGTATACTAGCATTTCTAATGATTGAATGAAAATTAAAAATTCTCAATTTTTTTTTGACTGAACATCATTCAATTTTCTTCTTGGAAGTAAAATTATCCGTAATTCTGAATTGTCCTATGTATATGCAGCAATCGTCGAAGGGAACATATTAACTTGAATATCAATAAAAGGTGCATCACAGAAGATCCATTGAATTCAACAACAAAACAACAAAAACCAAAAACTCATCAAGATATTTTTATTCAAGAAAAATCACCAAAATTAGTTATTATCTCCATAACTATAGTTCCCAACTATTTTATTTCCAAAGCAGTACCTCATAAATTTGCCATTTTACTGTGTAACAATACTATTCAAAGACCCAGAAATTGGTATCATATTCATAAACACATCATTCAACATAACTTTATTATTGAATGGTTGTTCAATAATAAGGAAGTTTTTTATTTAAAAAAAATTAGCCTAATATAATTTAATTTTATACTTTTGAAAGTAATAGCACAACAAAATTGTAATTTTTTGCAACAGGTACACCAAATGTGTAATTTTGAATTTATCTTCTTCTAGTTGTGATGAAATGACTTCTGTTTAAAGATGTAGATGTTGTTATGTTTTTCTTAAATGTTGGTGTAGAATCAATTTGATGTAGATAATATGTAGATAATTTTCAAATATTATAAATGTGATGTTTTTAAAACAAAAATAAATTATTACAATTGGTGTACCTGTGAAAAATACTTTTCAAAAGCCATGTGCATTACTTTAATTAAAATTGTCACTGTCCATACTTGTCAATAATTCAGTGAAGCACTCATGACTACCATAATATATTTTAAGACACCATGATAAATATAGCAATTTTAAAAATGTCAACTCACATACTCAGAAATGAGTTACAGAATATCATATTTAGTAGTCAGTGGCTTATTAATATTGGGTCATTTTTCCCAGAATTAAAATTAGGCAAAAAAATTGTTTCATTAGTTGTAGTGAAAACCGAATTCTTTTGTAATAATTTTATCTTGAGTAGCCAGGTATAGAAATTATAAAGAGAAAACACTGTCCATGGGTCGTTCTCGGACGGCAGTTTACAACACAAATGAAACCCCAGCTTTGAACCAATAGTGGATCTAACAACATGTGGTGAACATTCTATCTAGGTATCTTCAAGCTGCAATCGGCTGAAGATGCCTGGAAAAATAATGTTTTCGAATTTATTCACATTAAATAATAAAATAAAGCCTAAAAGTAGTACAATTTTCAGATCTTTTGTTTAAATAAATTGTATTATATTCCTAGGTTATGAAAACTTTATCCACATTTCAATCAAGAAGAAATTAAGGTGTTCATCTTCTTTAAGGTTTGTTAAGTTTTTTAGTCATTTAAATTACAATTGAAATTAAGTATAGGACTTACATTTTTCAATTAATAATAAGTGTTTAAATAACAAAAATTAACATTATTTCTTCTAAAACATTTATGATAGTAATTTATATCATTCATAGTGGTATTTGTATATTCATAGAACAAATATAAAAATTAAATTAAATTATTAACTTACTGTGCCCAAACATTAAGATTTAAGTAAAACGAAATAAATGTTTGAAAATTAATTAAATTACCAAATTAAATTAGGAACAAAAATGAAACAGGCATTTCAAAATGTTATTAATAAGAAAACATTGACAAATCAAATTACATTTTAATCTTAATCAAACCTGTATATCTGTTGATGTAACTCCAAAATCCAAATTTGATATGACTATTTTATGAATACTGGTAGTAGATAGACCACCCCTCATTTGTTGTCTTTTAGGTCCTTCGTACATATCATGAGTCCATGATCCATTCACATCACCCTAAAAAATATAGTTATAAATAAACATATATACTTTAAACATTCATACATTCATATTATTAATAATGCAATATTAAACTAGGGAACGGATTTATATGTAATAAAAATACAGAAATATGTACATAATATATAATATGGAAGTATAATTTATGAAATATGAGCTAAAAACATCCAAATACCTAAATTTAATCAAAAAAAAAATACAAATATAATTATTAAATTTTCAATATGATTTGAATTATCAAAATTTCTTTTAAATTACCTATAAAATATTAAATGTCGCCTATTAGGTCTCAAAATATTTTTAAAACCGCTTAATGATTGTTCCACATCAACCGATGTAATTAGAGCATATTTTAAGCGCATAATATCAGAAAGCGATAATTCCAAATTTTTAGAAGGGCCACTCATTACGTCATTAATTGGTTTAAAATCAAAAAAGCTAGGATTTTTTTCTGTAACAGCATGAATTATCTTTTTTACAACATCTATTGGACCGCTAACGAGTTTTAATTTTGCAATCGCTAATTCAACAATTTGCATAATATAATCACCTGTCATCAATTGTCAATCGTATATAAATGTATACTATATTAAGACATCTACTATATCTATATGAAAATTATAAGATAAAGACTATAAAACTAAAAATAACTACTAAATATTTGCTCCACGTGGATCGTCATAGTTCATAATGGCTGTTTTTGTCCACTCCAACATGGCTTGAGAACTTTTGAATGATAAAATATGTTTAAAAATATTTACAAATTAGTGAAATATGTAAAAACGATGTAATTATACCAAAATATGTAAAATAAAAGTATTATAATTTTAATAGGAATGATTTAAAGCATGAACATTTCTTATCGAATCTTAAATATCTTGTTTTGATAAAAATATGCATTTACATATAAATATATCTATATATTACACATAGGTAACTCGTTTATAATACATAGACTATTACTAGATATATTTGTGTTCAACCTGTTCTTTAGTGATCATAGGACTTCAGAGTTACAAAAAAATTACCACCATGACACCTTAGTCTAAGAAAGCCATCACCACGTAGCTGAATATGATTATATAATAATAGGTAACTAACACAATAAGAATAACCAAAATAAAAATGAACGGGAAAGTGGTTCAATTGTATACGGGGGCAGATTTAAGACACTGCAAACTATGCGGCCATATAAGACAGCACATTTCTTAAACGCAGCAAAATAGTATTCAATTTTTAATTTGATTATGTATAGAAAAATACTAAATATTTTTCTTGAATTCAACAGGAAATGTTAGGTATTATGAAGGAAATTATTTTGTCCATAAGTGATTTTTTAGGTTAAGGGCAGCAAATTTTTATTCGGCATAGGGGCGGAAAATTGATTAATCCGCCACTGCTTGTGTAAGTGTATGGATCCTACTTAGTATTAATTACCTATACTCTATTCCACCTTCATGCTCGTCTGCGAATCCCCAGACTATCAACACCCATTCCCAATGGCAGAGTGAAGAGTAGAAGAGCAGAAAAACCAATTATGGTCGGGCAGCGACATGTTCTCTCACGGAACAGAGTATAAATACCGACTCTGTTTGCTAAATATTCTGTTATCAGCAGATGTTAAATGACAAAAGGCAACGCAATTCCAGTTTCAAACACCATTAGTAATTATTGTCACAATATACGTAAAATGGGGGGGGGCTAAGGGGGCTATAGACTTCAAAGGCCGAAGCTTTATATTGCTTTATATTGCGCCGCCATTCAAAAGCTCGCTAACTTCCACGTGTTTCTCACCTTAGAATAAGGACTAAATCCATTTGAACGCCTCGCCATCGGCCTGCCTCTGCGCATGGGGCCACCGCCACCGCCGCCGGCAGCACCATTTGATCGGAAATTCGATCCTCCACCGCCACCACCACCGCGTTTAACACCACCGCCTCTAGATCCGCCTTGTCTTCCGCCGCCACGACGTCCACCGCGGGATGTTGACCGTTTGCTCTTGATAAGTTCGTCTAAGCTCAAGTCCATCTCGAGTCGATTTCGGTGTAGAATAATTGGTTCAAAAAACAAAACGCACGAAGTTAAGACTCGTGAAAATAAAAGGTTTTGAAAGCACAAACCACGCTCGTTAGCCTGCACTGAAATATATTAAACAAAAATGGCCGATATACAAACAATCGTCAATAACAAATTACAATGTTGGTTGTTACGTAGTTAGAAGTAACTCTATTCACAAACCACGGTTGCCACTCTGACTGGCTTTGTACTCAGCAGTAAACCGGTCAATGTTGTTGGGTGCCCGTGTTTGTACGGTGAGTGGTGGGAGAGCCTACAACTTAACTGTTTTATATCCAAAATGATTACGTTGGTCACACTGATAATATGGCGCCAATAATTTGAATAACAAAGAATTATAATATATTTTAATGGGAGTATAAATTGTTCATTGTTGTTTTGTTACCAGATAAAAATCGCAGTTCAGCCACCATGGGATTTTTCAAAATTTTTTTGGCACCATCATTTTTAAAATGCTGATTTATCTAGGTTTCGAAAAGTAGATTGGGCAGCTTTTCACGGAAAAATCGTTTTTGACTGTACGTATGAGTATACGTCATGACTCATGAGAAGTTTGGTGAGTTTGTAAAATGAAAATGAAAATAATTTGTAAAATCATATTGTATAATGTGTGGATTAGTATGTAAATATAATCAGAGTTAATAAAATAAAGAAACAGTTTTAACCGTTAAATACGTAATTTTGTATTTTTTTTCAAACATGTTTTATTCAGTTAATTTTGATTAAAAATAAGCACGTTTCGTAACACCTTTCAAAAATTAAAACGTATTATTTTCGTTAAATATTACGTATTTTTGTTTTCACAACAACATCAACACTTATATATTTTGAATTTTTTATTAGATGCATACAAATCCATACCCTTAACTTCAGTAATAAACAGTAAAACAGTAAGTTTTAAATAATAACTATAAAAGGTAGAATAGGCAAAACAGTCGAAATTTGGTCGATTTAAGTACCATCGTGACCATTGAGTAGAAGGCCAATGGATTTTTGGAGGAATTGGACGGGAATCTGGGCTTTGTTTTTTTGATCCTGTTGAACGTCGTGACAAGGTCACGGTGTTGTCATTAATTAAAGACTGGATTTTGCCGGACACGTCAATAATTAAAGATTGTTGAGAGGTACAATTAAGTTAAACCTGGAAGTTGGAATGGGATTCGCTTCCAGAATCCTATGCTGTATTCTTTAGGTCTTTATTCAAAAACATACCCACCCTACCATTGCTTCAATCGCTAAAAATGAGCCACGCTGCCATAACCAAATTCACCAGATTACGCACCGGCCACAGCCTGCTACCACGCCATTCTTTTAAATTGGGATTCAACAGCAGTATTTATTGTCCCCTACTCAACTGCGGTAGTGATAACTGTGATTTCCAACACCTACTCTTGAATTGCCCATCTCTCTCAATCCAAAGATCTCGGTTAAAAAGTCTCTTTTTCACCTTCGGTATACATTTTTCCCTCACTAACGCCCTTTCAACAAACAATATTAAACTAATTATACGCACACTAAATTTTATAAGACAATCAGGCCTACAAATTTAATAGTATGATCTTTACAAATACCATGTACTTATATAAATTGTAATTGTCGAGATATCATAATTTAACATTAAAATCTCATTAAATAAAAAAAAGTTAAACCTATACAAACAAATTTAAATTAGAAACTAAATAAAAATAATAAATTTTCCATTTTTGTGTTGCTAAAATTATTTAGGCTTATGATTATTAAGAAGAGAAGGAATCGCTGTTCATTCGATTCAATTTGTCAATCCAGATACCGGCGCACACACCAACAATGTCGAAGTTATGTGGCGCCACTCGTAAGCATAACTCTTGTCTCTCATAGTACTGGGGAAAGTACCCGCGAAAAAAAATATTACGGTTACATGGCAAAATGTATGTTCGTTAAGCGTTTTCGTTATCAAAAGTAGGACATATTGACAGAATTGTTTAAGTACGCTGGTCAACTTTAAGACCCACTCTTGATGAATGACCACCCTAATATGAGGAAAATAATGAATCTGATAAGAGTAGTTTTGATCCAGTCGACGAATAAAACTAATTTTGTAATTATTGTTAAATATGTAGAAAAATAATAAAAACAGTGAAAACTAATCATTAGCATTGTAATACGTGGTAATATCCAGCGTATATGGTATATCTGAAAAATATAAACGGAGCCGGTAGGGCACGACTACTTGTCATAGGTACTTATAAGTTATAACTGTATACAGTAGTCAGTAGAGTATATATAAAGCGACGGTACAGTCATAATTTAATTTTCAGCCTATGGATCAGGTCACCCATAAAGTTTTTTTCGTTTACACTCGTCCAAACTTCTCCCGGAACTTGGAAATTTACATAAGTTATATGTATATGCTATAACTTTGAAAATAAGTTCGATCGACAAATTATAATTGCAACATCGTTTTTGAATAGTCAAGATACATAGTCCCCCCCCCCTAAAAAAAATTCAAAATTTAGGAATTCTCGAATTTCAAACCGTTTTAACTCAAAAACTAAGTGTTTGCTCAATTTTTTTTGCCACCATAATTTTTAAAACGTTTATTTACTTAAGTTTCGAAAAAAAAGTTCGAAAAAAATCCCATGATAGCTAAACAACAATTATATCTTTAATTTTTATAAAACGACTTCTGATGTTGGACAACCCCCCCCCCCCTTAAAAACATTAACGGGCTTTCCCTATGATATAGTTTATATTCCATTATTCCATTAAATATTAATATACTTAGATTGAACTTAATGAAATTATTAAATAATACTTCTTAGTTCTTTTAACTGCCCTATGGCATCAATGTTTTTAATAAATTATTGTTAAATAAATGGAGATATACGTAACTACGAATTTTGTTGATATTTAACATTTTTTATGTGATTTCATCTCCGATTTCGTCTTCATCAGTGATTGGTTCTTTAGTTATAGTTTCTAAATCGTATGTAACGACTTCTTTTTTTTCATCGTTTGGAAGCCAATACTAGTTAAAAATCTAAAATAGGCCAAAATACACAATAGATAAATTGTATTTATTATTTATCAAAGAGAAACTGTGAAGATTCGAACATTTCCACGCCGCCATACTACCGGTTAAGATGGTTAAGTTATATTTCATAATATCATGATGGTACCTATTATTGGCTATTACACATCGGCACGTAGGTAGTTTTACAAGTTACAACTATAGTATCCCGACATAGGCTTAATTCACATAGGTGCCAATATTAAATAGGTAAATAAAATGATAAACATAAACATACTAAATAAAGTAACTTTATTATATAACTATCACTAAAATCTAAAATTCTTAATCCAATTTTTCTTCATCTCTATTTCACATTTTCACGGAACATACCATTACTCTGTGTTCTATATAATAAATAATAATTTATCGTTCTAGTCTCGTTTTTATAGAGTTTTAACTCTTAAACAGATACATAAAAAAAAAGTTCACGGTGGAAATGATAAGTTCAACATTGTGGTGTCTACTCAAATAACAGACAAAACTAAAAATAGTAATATAACTAGGTAGGTAGGTACCTACAAATTTTAAAGCATACCTCTAACCCACTTAATAAGTTAGTGGACCTACTTTAATGAAAACCAAAAAAATTGAAATATTTGAATGTAATAACTAGATAATCCAGTCTCAGCCCTCTAATTTTCAAGATACACATGTCAGCAATTTCTGGAACCTTTGACGATGCTAACATTCCGTACGTAATGTATGCTGATATCAGATGACATTGGTACTATAGTAATTTCCACACTTCCAAAAAAAAACCATGCTTCAGATTTTCTAAATCACTCTTTTTATCTTGGCGAGGTCACCTAGTATAAGATAATGGATATCAAATTCTGTTTTACTTTATTGAGCCTTCCCCCCACTCAAAATTGAAAATTCCTGGGTACGCCACTGGCTTCAAGGTTGTAAATGCAACGGTTTATTCTATCACTATTTTGTTTAGACGGTGCCCAACTTCCAGTGGTTCCCGGTTCCACTGGTTCCTAAAACAACGTATTTCGGCCTTATTTTGGCTAGCAATATACGACAAAAAGCTCATTTATGCACATATCTTCGATCTTCCTACATTAAAAATAGGTTGATTTGCTAAGGTCTCTAGCTAGAAGCAAATGGGTTCTCATCCCTCTTCCTTACTCCAAATTTACAAAGCAGTCATTCGATCCAAAGTCGAATATGGATGTTATATTTTAGTTCTGTCCCCTTTCCCCACCACAGAAAACTCAGTTATTTACAGACTAGCGGTCCAAGCACCGCTTTTGGGCGCTAAAATCTATTCCTACACCTTATTTTGAATGTAGAGACCTCCTGTTCACCATTTTTCATTAGGCGTCGTTGGCTAAATGGAAAATGTATCCAGAAATATTCATCATTAAAATAAGTCTCTTCCATAATTCATATATGGAACTCGGTTAACACTAAATGGAGATTCGTTCACAGTTTAACTTCATTACTTTCAGTTATTCAGTCACTCTCCGTGTTTCTTAAACATATATAAAGTTCACAAACTTTCTCTCCATAACGTAATATTAAACCTTATGAATTATGATGTCCTTCTGACACCTTCAGTGATGATTATGATTGCGCCTAATTTTTGTAGCTACGTTCGAACCGAATAACGTACACTGCCGCATGTACAACTAAACGTTTATTTTGAACAATTTTAATCCGAACACCCTGGTCTTCGGAGATGATTCTGGGGCATTTTCTTCCTTCACAACGGAATGCTTTGACATTATTGAAGCTTTCTCCTGTACAAACATTTAGTTCTCTATCCTCCAGTAACTATTGTGTATCTTAGTACCTATCTCTAATTCGTATACTAGCCTTCTACCTACCTACCAGCAAAGCCTTCCTCTCTCACTTCTCTTAGTATTCCCCAATTATTTTAAGAATTATCGCATTGATGCTATCTTTTATGACCCGGTCTTTCACTATCTCCTTACTAAGGGCTCTTAGACATAGGCATGGATATTACAAGCAATGTGCATGCTGACTCAGTAATGCCTCTCCCTCAGGGCCACCACGGTAATTTTATACAATCCTTAAACTTCGTAAATTCGCTCACAAATTTTGGATGCTGAAATGGAAAAACCTTCCAGAAATTTCACCTCTAAAATATGCAAAAAACATCCTTCAGAG